GAACATGTTCTGACATAGCACACTTCTAATTTTTATGCTGAAAAATCAAATGATCTCCCATATGCTTTCTTCCACTGCTTTTATGTTTAGAAGGTCTTTCCCCCTCCCAGAGATCAGTTGAAAGTTAATGTGTAGTTCCTTCTAGTCTAATTACAGCTTTAAAGATTTACATTGAAGCCTTTAACCCACCTGCAGTGTACTGAGGGGTAAGGCTGAGGTGAGGATTCAGCTTTGCTTTTCCCTCCACAGTTAACCAACTGTCTCGATAGGCTTTTCTAATCTGTTCAAAATTCATCTGCAGAGGTGACTCAATCACATGTATCTGGATCTCAACATTACATCTTTCTGAAGAAAAAAAATCAGTAACAAAATGATGGGAAACCATAAAAATAGAACAAAAAATCAAAATTTGATACTGGAAGTAACATGGCAGAAAAATGTTCAGCTTATGTTACTGAAAAAATGAAAAAGTATAAGTCAACAGCAGCAGGAAGAAGTATTCGGGGTGAAGTGTACTGATGTCTGTAACTCACTTTGAAATGCACCAAAAATTAAGATGAAATGACGGATGAATAGAGGGTGTGTAAAGAGTAAATACAGCATTAATATAAACCGTAGGACCTAGGTAATGGGTGCATGGGAGCTCACTGTAGCATGGTTTTCAACTTGTCTTTCTGTTTAAAAGTATCCATAATAAAATGCTGGCGGAGGAGAAGCAAGTCTTCTAAATCACATGTTTTTGAACTGTGATAGTCACATACCATTACTAAACGAGCCTGCATCGTAACTTTAATTAAAAAAATAATAAAATCACACACCAAATAAGAACGGACACACACACACAACTGTGTTGTTAGTGAAGACAAGAGGACCAAGTGCGGGGGGTAATGCAGAGTTATTAATACACCTGCTGACCTAAGAGGCATTGTTAGTGCCACAGAATTAAAAAAAAATTATGATAAATTACAGAATTAACATACCTGTTGAGAAAGAAAAACTTCTGCTTGCTTTTGGGACAGGGGCCCACTGCAAGATACTTCTTCTTCTCTGGAAAAAAATTAAAATATTAAAGAGTTACACAATAGCAAAAATGGTAACACAAAGTCAGATACAAAGTCAAATTGTTGCAGCAGGAGAGTTTAAAACTTCTTAAATTAGCTCTCTCTTTTCAGAAATAGAAAAGAA